ATCAGGAAGATTGAGAATAGCGGGAAGAACATGATTCTATAACAAATCGAGGTATACTCTACTATTCAAGTTGCTCTCAATAAAAAATGGACCTATTATGTGGTCTCCTAAAATGCCAGTCCAGACGTTAACTTTTTGAGGACGTTGAGTTCGGTAAACAACACTTCTGTGCTGGTTTTCCCGCGCCCAATACCTCGTAATGGAAGGATTGTGTCTCCCTACTAACGAAACAGAAGATTCATCAGTGAATAAAATGTTTTTAATAAAATTTGGTTCACTATTAGCCTTCGTTATTAGAGTTTCACAAAACTCCATTCTTCGAAAGTAATCGTCTGGATAAAGCTGCTGCGTTTTTGAATATTTAAAATTCTTGTAGCCGTGCTTTTTCCATACTTTCGTTACAGTAACATTGCTAACATCTAACTCTAGCAACGCTTCTACTTGAACGTGTTGAATCTACCTCGATTGTTGCACAAATTTGTGTATCCCGGTATTCTCTTTCCTCAACTTTTTCTGGTAACACTTCTCGAGCGTGACATTTTCTGCAATTTTTGAGGCAATAACAACTCTCAAAATTTTTAACAATATTATAAATTGACTGTACACAAGGAATTTGTCTTCCCTCAAAAAACACAGAAAATAAATCTACACACTGTTGCGCAGAATTGCCTCTATAAAACCATTTTATTATTTGAGCTTTTTCCGCGGCCATATAAACAAACATGTTTACAAAAATAAATTAAAACTCTACGCTGTTATACCTTTAAACAACCACGGTATAATGACAATATGACAAATTTGCCGACGGGCGACGAACAAGTCGACGACGCGCAGTGTTGCCATTTATAGAGTGTATACCTAATCCAAAACTTAACGCACTGTATTACTACTTATTAGAAATGTGTTCTCTTATGTTAAATTTTATTGAAATTCTTTGTAAAATACAGTGGTATGGGACGGGTTAAGCATGTATAATATTAACAGTACGTTTTTATATTTTTTTACATTTGCTCGGATTTTTTGTCCGTTAAATAAAGGTCCGTTATATCGAGGTTTTACTGTACTTTTATTTTGTCTACATTTAAAATTGGGTTATTAGATCGACACCAACTATTAAATCAAGCTAAAAATTGATTACAAATAGATGCCAATTTCTCATAGGTTTGTGCTGAGATCACCAGAAAAGTATCGTCTGCAAATAACGTCAGATCCACAATATCTAACTGGTTAGATACATCATTAGTAAATAACAAAAAAATCAAAGGCCTTAATACAAAGCCCTGAAGAACACTAGCGTCTAGCCGTTGGCAGGTCAGGATAATCCTGACCAATCCAATCGCACTTGATTTTGTGTGTGGCGCGTCATTCAAATTATGTACAGGTTTTAATGTAACAGTTCTCATTTCTCACATCACGAAACGTTTTCAGATTGTTCACACAAATAAGGAGTTATGTTTAATTGTTTTGAATACACAGTTTTATTATTTTATAAATTATAAATATTATCTTATTGTGAGTTGGCAACAAGTGGTGAGATAGCGATCCTAACCAATTACAAATCAGTCTACTGCGCAGTCGCATTGATCAATTTGTGTTATTTAGCTGAATTTGAATTTCAATTTTGAATTTCGTACGAGACCCCGTGAAAGAAAAAAGAAAATTGATTGCGAGTGCAAAAACTGTAAAAAAGTATTCTTAAATACCTCAAATTTACGCATACATATTAAGAAGTTTCACCCAGAATTAGTGAAGGTAGAAGTAGTAAATTACAATTTTAAATGTAGAATATGTGGTAACAATTTCAACCACAAAAAACATTTACGTTATCATGAAAAAACTCACAAAAATGTTATAGACACGAAAGATAGCAAAATCAACAGAGATTCTAAGAAGTGTCCTTTGTGCAATTTTCATTCAAGTTATGTTGCAGAATTGCACACTCACTTTCAAGAAGAACACAACCTAATCCTAGAAAGTGAAACACTTCAATTTTCCAATTTAGCCTCTTTTCAGGAGTGGAAATATTCTATTGAAATTAGTACAAAAACCAAATACGTTAAAGTAGAGAACTTTTCCGCAAAGACTCACAAAACAATGAAGTTTCTGTGTCATCGGCCAGGCTGCTTTAATTCTGAAAGCAAAGGAAAGAGGCACTTAAAAATGAAAGGCAGTATAAAAATTGGTGGATTTTGCCCAGCAGGCCTCACGGTTGTGGTTGATTTGGCAGAAAAATCTGAAGTCAATTTTATAAAAACACACATTGGACATCAAAGTGGTATTGGGCAGTTACTTCTAAATATATCTGAACGTCAGTCTATTGCTTATATTTGATTGTGGTTATTATTTTTATTATACAACAACATAACAACAACGACGATCTATAATAATAATAAGTGACAAGCAGACAAACAAGCCCGCCCTTACCCTTTGTGTCACTGTCTACTGTCTTGTCGCTTGTTGCCAACTCACAATAATATAATATTTATAATATGTAAAATAATAAAACTGTGTATTCAAAATAATTAAACATAACTCCTTGTTTGTGTGAACAATCTGAGAACGTTTCGTGGTATGAGAAATGAGAACTGTTACATTCAAACCTGTACATAATTTGAATGACGCGCCACACACAAAATCAAGTACGATTGGATTGGTCAGGATTATCCTGACCTGCCAACGGCTAGACGCTAGTCTGAAGAACTCACAGATTAATCACACGGTCCTCAGAATAGCTTCACTGATTTTAACACAAATTATCCTATCTGATAAGTAACTATTAACCAATATAAACATATTCCTCGAAAACCAATATTCTACAGTTTATCAGTATTAAACAGGCTGTCAAGACAATCAGAGGCCCGCCTCAGATCAAAAAAGAGACCTGCCACATGTTCACCTGCATCTGTAGACCCTTTAACAATATCTTCAGGAAGTGAACTGAATAGACGTACCTGTATGGAAACCATGTTGACAATAGCTTATAATTTTAAATCTATCTAAAATAATAGGTCTATAATTGGAAATGTCTTCAGGATCGTCACTCAGCGTGCGGCTAAACCGCGAATGCTTTCTAGATCATATTTTTTGGGTGGATCAGTCCCTTTTGTTTATGCTATCTTCTTGACAATATCTCTCCATTTTTTCTGTCTCTAGTTTTCCTCTCCATTCTCTGACTCCTGCCCTTTGGAGGTCTTCTTCAACTTCTTGCAGCCACTTTGATCTTGGTCTTACCCTTTTCTTTCTTCTTCTTTTGTTTGCAAAATAAGCTTTATTCGCTGCTAATATTTTTCTTTTATTTCGGACTTCCTTTCTCCGGATTTGCTTATTATAACTCCTAGGTATTTGAAGTATTCTACTTTTTTAAACTCAGAACTTCCTATTTTGATTTTTTCTTTCATGGCTTTTCCTTAATCTTAATATTTTTGCCTTTTCTTGATTTAATCTTAGTCCCATTGCCTTCCCTTTCTCTCTTGTTTCTTCTAGCATTTCCTTCTTGCTAGACTTGCTTGTACCACTGCAGTCGTTCACGACCACGACATCGTGTCGTCGCAGTGATCCCGCCGGGGTACTACGACAGTCGTGTACGACTACGATTTTAAATCGCGTCGTGTGAAAGTTTACATTTAATCAATGAGTTAACTGCTATACACGATATCGTTGCCGTACACGACTACGACAAAATGTCGTCCGTCTGAAAGAAGCCTAACACGTAAACGTTAACACTAACGTAAACGTAAAGAAATTACGTTTACTACGGTCACTATACGTTTTAACTGTGATGTGTGAAACGTTTTAACGTCTAACATGTGTTTCTAACCTTACTTTTAATCAGATTTGTTGTGGATTATTTACAAATTTGAATGAATAGACAGTGTCCTTTTATATTTTTTTCCTGGTTTAGGTAGCTTTTTTATGAAACATTGTGATTGCTTTTACTGCAGAATGGAAGATATCCTTAATATTGAAATGTTTGGGGAATCTGATTTCGAGGATGATGACATAGACGATGCTGTACTTCTACATTTTTTTCACTATTTTTAGGTTACAATAACACAAAAAAAAGATAAATCTTTGGTTAAAATCACAAAACAACAAAAAGTTTTTAAATCAATATAAGGTTGAATGTTCGAATAATTAAACTTTGATGGTATACAAGGCAACTATCGAACACAATAATTAATTAAATCTTGCCCAAGTACTTTCGATCAATAGATCATCTTCAGGGGCATTTTTCGTCAGTTGTGGCCTATCCGACATGAGCAGAATGTCATACATGTAAATTTGGACATAACAATCCAATACACAAAGACAAAAAAAAAATTTTAAGTATTTGTTTGTCTTTGTGTATTGTATTGTTATGTCCAAATTTACATGTATGACATTCTGCTCATGTCGGATAGGCCACAACTGACGAAAAATGCCCCTGAAGATGAGGCAAGATTTAATTAATTACTGTGTTCGATAGTTGCCTTGTATACCATCAAAGTTTAAAAAAAAAAAAACTTTTAATTTTCGGTTATTTGACAGACATTCGGTAATACTCGGAACAATTTGGAAAACGTTAAGGGAATTCGTACACGCACGCAAGATTACGGAGACCCGTTAACGCAAACGTGTGTATTCCTCTACTGCGCACGAGTCGCTGTCAAATTATACGTTAACGTTTTGCTCTGCACTAAGGGCTTACCAATGATAGACGTGTCATTTTGGTGTCAACCTACTCGTCTTCTTTTATCTATATAAATAACTTGTAAGTGTGAGATATCAAGCTAATAGATCTATAGTTCTACAGCTCAGTTATATCTACTTTTTTGTGCATGACTTCTATAAGAGCTTTATTCCACTTGAGACTTCTTCTTCTGAATTTTGGACTTTTCCAACTTAATGCCGTCTTTCCATGTTTGTTGTCTAACTTAGGTTGTAATTATACTTTATTTATTATATCACATTTCTTTGTTTTTCTGTTGAAGTAAAATGTTTATTTTTAGTTTGTATTTTAGGTTGTTCCCAGAAGAACAAAATAGAAGAATTACATGGGTCGCATAAAGGAAAATATACAGGTCAACATGTTAAAGGAAAAATATTAAATAAAAATATGAAAGTTGAAACTGGACATAAACCTTACAAATGTGAAATGTGTTTCAAGCCGTTTTCTAGAATAAGTAGTTTGAAAACACATTTGAGGATACACTCTGGAGAAAAACCCTACAAGTGTGAAGTTTGTTTAAAGCAATTTACTACAACTAGTAATTTGAAAAGACATTTTCGAGTGCACACTGAAGAAAAACCGTACAAGTGTGAAATTTGTTTAAAGCAGTTTACTGATTCAAGTGATTTGAAAAAACATTTTAGAGTTCACACTGGAGAAAAACCGTATAAGTGTGAAATTTGCTGTAAGCAGTTTATTTCTAAAAGTAATTTGGACAGAGATATGAAAACGCATACTGGAGAAAAACCTTATGAGTGCGAAATTTGTTATAAGCAGTTTATTGTTCCAAGTGATTTGAAAACCCATTTTAGAGTGCACACTGGAGAAAAACCGTACAAGTGTGAAATTTGTTTTAAGCAGTTCTCTCGAACAAGTCATTTGAAAGTACATTTGGGAATACACACTGGAGAAAAACCGCACAAGTGTGACAGTTGTTTAAAGCAATTTACTACAACTAGTCATTTAAAAAGACATTTGAAAATGCATAATGGGGAAAAACCATACAAGTGTGAAATTTGTTTTAAACAATTTGGTGAAGCAAGCAATTTGAAAAAACATTTTAGAGTTCACACTGGAGAAAAACCGTACAATTGTGAAATTTGTTGTAAGCAGTTTTCTCAAAAAATTAATTTAAAAAGACATTTCAGAATGCACACTGGAGAAAAACCTTATTAGTGTGAAAGTTGTATAAAGCAGTTTACTGCTTCAAGTGATTTGAAAAACCATTTTAGAGTGCACATTGGAGAAAATCCGCACAAGTGTGAAATTTGTTTAAAGCGGTTTATTAATTCAAGTGATTTGAAAAAACGTTTTAGAGTTCACACTGGAGAAAAACCATATAAGTGCGAAATTTGTTATAAGCAGTTTATTGCTCCAAGTGATTTGCAAAACTATTTTAGAGTGCACACTGGAGAAAAACCGCACAAGTGTGAAATTTGTTTAAAATAGTTTTATACTGCAAGTGATTTGAAAAAACATTTTAGAGTTCACTATAGAAAAACAAGTGCGAAATTTGTTATAAGCACTTTAACCAATCAAGTTCTTTGACAGTAAATTAGAGAATACACACTAGATAAAACTATAAAATTTTGTTTTAAGCAGTTTTCTCGCATAACTATTTTCAAAATACATTTGAGGGTGTGCAGTGAAGAAAATCAAATGTGGTATTTGTTTGAAGCAGTTTTCTCAAGTATTTGATTATTAAATTGCATATGAGATTGCACACTGAAGGGAGACATCTTTTTGACCCCCTTTTTTGTAAAAGTTTTCTCCTCTTTCGAGCAGGGATGATGTATGTTCCCTTCATGTTACATCTTATAACATGGACCTAGTGTCATTAAAATATTAAAATTAACCATCATTTGCATGAAAGACAAGAGTTTCTATATCTGTTTACGTAGCTAGTTTCAACTACTTTTAATGTTTTTTCAGTGATGCTGGACCGAAATCGTTTTAAAGATTTGTAATCCTCGTATACAAATTTTTAAAATATTTTTTAATAAAGAATATTCCATTATGCACAAGAAGTTCTTACTTCTATGTAAGTTTTTTTAATTTATGGTGTACCGGGTGGTCCAATAAGCCGATCTCTCGGCTATATATCAGAAACTATTCATGTTATAACTTTAGGAAAAAAATTCCTTAGTAAAAGTGGCCACGAGAAATCGCTGGAAATAACTTTAAGATTCTGGATTAACCGCTAGGGGGCGTAACCTGCGAAGAAAATTTTGAAAACCAGTTTTTTGGGAAATATGTCCAATTATACCAAGCGTTAAATCAGTAAACTAGAAAGGGGCATAAATTCTGCACAAAGTTGTTCAAGTACTTTTTTTTTCAAATAAAGGGTGGGGGAGAGTGGGAAAGTATTTCTGGAAAAATACCTATAACTTTGGTTTGATCCAACCGATTTTAATGAAATTAGTGTCATTAGAAAGAGTGTGGATGAATTAATTCACATCTACTATAAAATACTTACATTCAGTTTTCATAGTCGTAGGTAGAGGGGACTTTCAAATAAAAAAAATTAAAATATGTTTTTCTTCAAAATTTTTAATGGAAACACCTATTTATTGTAAATTATAATGGAACTAGAATAAATTCGTAACAAAATGGAGCAAACCGCATGTTAATAGCTTTTGTTGAACTCGAGATATGAATCAAAACTCATAAACATAAGTAAGTATAGTATTGACACACCCTGTATTATAAATTACATTAAAAAATAAGTCAGTAGGTATTTTCAAATTGTTTTATAGCAGAAGAATCTTAATGTTGATACCTATTTTCTAAAAAATAGTTTTTTCGAAACTAAGTAGGCTACGACAATGAATTTGACGGGGAGTTCCTATTGTTTATTTATTGACAGCAGTCAAAACGTTGTTAAGAAGTGCTATATTATAATTCGAATTAAAGATTGCACTTTTTTCAATAGATATTAATATTAGTAATTAATTATCAGTACAAATAATTCGTGATGAGTATATCAAATTGTATGATATGATTGGAGTGTATTTCGAATGTCACCAAAATGCCACTATTGCCTCACGTAGATATTTTGTAAGATATCGTCTCAGGAGACATTATGGCAAAGAAGTATTTGAAAGAAAGGCAAAAGGATTAAGAGAAACTGGTAGTTTTTCTCGTCCTTGTTTTAAACGACGTAGTAGAGTTATGACCGAATATAATTCAATCAATGTTCTTGCTTTAATTCAACAGAATCCTCATATGAGTAGTCCGAAATCTCTACTTCTTTGCCACAATATCTCCTGCCAGGATATCTTACAGAATATATATGTAAGGCAATAGCGCCATTTTGGTGATATTCAAAATAAACTCCAATCATATACAATTTGATATACTCATCAAGAATTATTAGTACCTACTGATAATTAATTACTAATATTACCAATATTAATATCCATTGAAAAAAATGCAATTTTCAATTCGAATTATAATACATATAACACTTCTTAACAATATTTTGACTGCTGTCAATAAATAAACAATATGAACTCCCTGTCAAATTCATTGTGGTAGCCTACTTAGTTTCGAAAAAACAATTTTTAATCATATGAAATAACAATGGTCAAAATAGGTATCAATATTAAGAGTTTTCTACTATAAAAATTTTTGAAAGTACCTACTGACTTATTTTTTAATTTATTTTATAATACAGGGTGTGTCAATACTATACTTACTTATGTTTATGCGTTTTTGTTCATATCTCGAGTTCGATAAAAGCTATTAACATGCGGTTTGCGCCATTTTGTTACGAATTTAATTCAGTTCCATTATAATTTACAATAAATAGGTGTTTCCATTAAAAATTTTGAAAAAAAAAACAAATTTTAATTTTTTCTATTCGAAAGTACCCTCTACCTACGACAATTAAAACTAAATGCAATTATTTTATAGTAGATGTAAATTAATTCATCCATACTCTTTCTAATGACACTAATTTTGTTAAAATCGGTTGATCCAAACCAAAGTTATAGGTATTTATCCACAAATACTTTCCCACTCTCCCCCACCCTTTATTTGAAAAAATAACAAAAAAAGTACTTGAACAATTTTGTGCAGAATTTATGCCCCTTTCTAGTTTACTTATTTTACACTTGGTATAATTGGACATATTTCCCAAAAAACTGGTTTTCAAAATTTTCTGCGCAGGTTACGCCCCCTAGCGGTTAATCCAGAATCTTGAAAGTTATTTCCAGCGATTTCTCTTGGCCACTTTTACTAAGGAATTTTTTTTCCTAAAGTTATAACATGAATAGTTTCTGATATATAGCCGAGAGATCGGCTTATTGGACCACCCGGTACATCCAACCACTAGGATTTTTCCCTTTTACTTTGTTATTTTAGTTTTTTTACTTCATGCTTGTTTCCCTAACTTTTTTTTGCAATTCGGCAACGTCTCAATAGGACTGCTTTTAATATATAATTTTTCGTATAAAAATGATTGTACGTCATTCAAGATTTACGACGTCAGAACCCCACAGCGTTGCCAAAACATTAGAATAGTTAGTAAGTGACGAATTTTTAAAATGTCAACTATTTGTCAAACTGTTATATTAACAGTAAATACACTTAGTTTTAAGCATCGAGTAAAAAGACAAAAGAGGGAATGTAAAGGTAGTGGGGACAAAAATATTGTTAGACAGGAAGTGCTACCTTGAGAGGCCACTTTAAACAAGGAAAGACAGCCTCTTTCCTTGTTTAAGAAATCAAATTTAGTTTGGTTATGTTATTGTTTGTCCCAACTGTCACATGAAATTTTATTTATATTGAATTTTTTACCAATTGTGTCACTTTTTAGAATATTATCGTTAATATTTAATTAAAACTTTCTTCTCTGAAAAATATTTTATAGCTATTGTTAATAAGTGTCGGAACATTTAAATTTAGCGCCTTTGCATTTCCGGATATGTCCGCCATCAGAGGCCACTTTTTAGTCTCCTTTTTATAACGATTAGATTCCCTCTTTTGTCTTTTTGCTCGATGGTTTTAAGACAACTGTAACACACTAAAATACATAAGAAAACATTTTAATACAAAATTGTATATTCTAAATTTTAAACTTACCTTTTTAGAGCATTAATAGTAAAAACGTCCCGCCATTATTTCTTGTTCAAAATAATAATCTATCTTATATGAAGGCTTATCAGCTTTCTACAGACTATTTAGTTGTTTTTAAATCACAATATACAACAATAATTAGTTTTTAAAGCTATTAATCTAAAATTAATATGTATTTATTAATACAATTTATTAATATATAATATATTATGATCAAATTGTGTAAGAAATTAAAAGATAAACAAAATTCTTACTCTAAAAAAGCGGCAACACTTTGAACAATTTTGCCAGACGCTGAACTGTCCTTACAATATAAAGTATTCCCGTATCACTTGCGTACAATTGTCTAATCTATTTAATTAAAATTATTATTTTATGGAATATTATTTCATAAAATTTATATTATTAATAATAACAAATGTTTTTGGTTATTTAATCAATATAATTCTAAAATTCCCAATATAATGATGATTACATTTTTCTGATTATTATAGGGGAGAGGTGGGATATTTGATCCCTGTTTTAGTGTTTTAAAGATTATTTCAGACCATAATAGTTATTTTCTTAATTTCATTAAACAGGTTCATAATGTGGTTACCTCCTTCCACTTGGTCTTCACCTAGAATCTC